ATGTTACATCAATTTTTACAAAGGAACCCAGAGGGGAACTAGGAAATTACAAGCCAGTCAGCCTAACATCTGTCCCAGGCAAATTTGTAGAAACTGTAATCAAAGCTAGAATGGTTACGGACACAGAGGGACAAAGCCTGCTGAGGCAAAACCAGCATGGCTTCTGCAAAGGGGAGTCCTGCCTCACCAGCCTTTTGGAGTTCTTTGAGAAAGTGAACATGTATGGAGACAACGGTGACCCGGTAAGACATTATATACCTGGACTTTCAGAAGGCTTTTGACAAAGTACCTCACCAAAGACTCCTGAGTAAACTTAGCAGTCATGGGATAAGATGAGAGGTTTTCTTACGGACTAAAAACTGGTTAAGTGACCGGAAGCAAAGAGTAGGGATCAGTGGACAGTTCTCACAATGGAGGGAAGTCAGCAGTGGGGGGTCCCAGATTATTCAGGATGGTGAAAAGCAAGGCTGGCTGTGAAGACCTCCACAAACTAGCTAGCTGAGTGTGCAACAATGTGGCAGATTAATGTATGCAGTTATTCTACTTATAACCCACCCACCCCTGTACAACAGGGCTCAGAGTAGGTAAGAACAAGATTCATAAAACAATAGCTACAAAATTAACTATTAAAACAATTTTTACAATAATGCTAACAACTAATCAGATGGCACATAAAAGGAGAGCACAACCTACTGCCCCCTACCTGGGGGGGGGGAAGTAAAAAAAACCCCCAGTAACAGACACGGAATGGGGGGTGGGGGAGGAAAGGAGAGAGGCCCGTCTAAGATGGAAGCCATCGCTGCCTCAGCCGTCAGCTTGGCGGAACATCTCTGAAGTTCCATGTTGGTGAGTGTCAGGTGACGCACACTGGGAGGAGGGGGGGGGAAAAACCCCCAACTTCAAGTCTAGGCTGACGGGGGGTCTGAACTTGCTGAGGCTGAGAGGGGGAAAGATCTTGGGGTCGTAGTGGGTAGAGCTCAGTGAAAGTGTCAACCCCCGTGGGTGCACCAGCGGTAGGAAAAAGGCAAACCCTGCTCTAGGGATCATCTGGAAAGGGATTGAGAATAAAATGGCCGATATTGTAATGCCCTGGTGTGGCTCTATGGTGCAGCCTCATTTTGGACTACTGCGCACAGTTCTGGTCATCATAGCTCAAAAAGGACACTGCACCAGCTGGAAAAGGCACAGAGGAGGGCGACCAAGATGATTTGGGGGGGTTGGAGCCCCTCCCCTAGGAGGAAGGGCTGGAGAGTCTCCCTGGGACTTTTCAGTCTAGAAAAGAGAGGGCTAGGGGGGGGGGCATGATAGAGGTTTATAAAATTATGCATGGGGTTGAGGGCATCTAGTGAAGCTGGTGGGCAGGAGGTTCAGGAGGGACAAAAGGAAATAGCACTTGACACAGAGAGTTATTAAAATGTGGAATTTGCTGCCGGAGGATGTAGTGATGGCCACCAGAATAAACAGCTTTGAAAGGGGATTAGATAGATTCAGGGAGGACAAGTCTGTCAATGGCTACTAGCCCTGGTGACTGAGGGGCACCTCCACACTCAGAGGCATCCCTGAGCCCGGAGGAGGCCGCATCAGGGGAAGGCTTCAGCCTCTATGTCCTGCTGTTGGCACTCCGGAGGAACTGGTTGGCCACTAGAGGGACCCTCACTGGTCTGATCCAGCAGGAACTCTTCTTATGCTCTTAGGGCTGGCCTAGCCTACGTGTGGGAGAAAGCCATTCGTGCAGTGGGAGGTGCCTAGGTGCTCTGAATGGCCAACCTGCCCCTGCCTGTGAGGTCAGAGGCTGAGAAAGTGTAACAGGCCAAGGTCACCCAGTCAGCCTCCACAGCAAAGTAGTGATTCAAAGCTGGGTCTCCCAGATCCCACTCTGAAACTGTCACCACTGCCCCACAGTGCCTTTCACGGGGTGGCTCCTGTTGAACAGTAGCAAGCGGCTGGGCCTGGACGGGTGACGATGCAGATTAGGTGGCAGCAATCTGCCTAGCAGACCCACAGTTGTCACATTCACAATTTATTGTTGGCATACACAGCTTTCTTAAAAATGGGAATGAATGCATTCCTAAAGCGACACATTTGTACATTTAAGTCCCAGTGTGACGAACAACGTGAGCGCATGAAATGGCCTTATTCCGGGTGAGACGTTTGGTCTGCCAAGGTCAGTCTTGCCTCCCCGACTGGCGGTGGCTCCTCAGGGTCTCAGGAGCGGGGCTTTCACATCATTATTTTATCATTATTAAAATACTCCATTTATAACCCCCCTTTCTCCCTAGAGGGGCACCAAAGCAGTAACTGACACTCTCCTCTCCCCCATTTTATCCTCATAACAACCCTGTGAGGTAGGGGAGGCTGCAAGTGTGTGACTGGCCCAAGGTCACCCTGCCCACATACACCACCCGAGGACTTTCTGTCCAATGGACTTGGTGAGCTCTTTAGTTGGAAATAAGTTCCGGCTAGTGAGGGTCTGATTCAGATCCAGACCGTGGACCTTGGGGGAGGGGGGTGTCAGCCTCCCCCCCCCCGGCCATTTCCCCAAATGGCCCTGTGGAGCTATCATTTGCCACACTGGGTCAATGTATCCGTAGTGGAAGTTATGCATCGGTTTTCCTAACTGGGGTGTGAATGAAAACCATCTTTTAAGGGGGGAGGGAGGGACTTAGGGCTTCCTATTTCCACATGACCACGGAGACGTCTTCGGACTGCGCTGGCTCTTTGGCTTGGAAACGGAGATGAGCACTGCCCCCTAGAGTCGGATTCGACTGGCTTTCGAGCAAGGGAGACCTTTACCTTTATTTTGTCTTTAGAACAAAGTTTGACTCCAGAGACACCTTTAAGACCAACAAAGTTTAATTCTGGGTATAAGTGTTTGTGTGCAGGCACACTGGATCAGATACATATAGGTGTGTGTGGGGGTGGGGGGGGTAAGTTGCCATGAAGGGCTAGTTAGAGTCAAGATGCAAAAGTTACTGGGCGGAGTATCTGAGGAAGTGTGCGTGTGCACACGAAAGCTTATACCTCGAATTAAACTTGATTAGTCTTCAAGGTGCCTCCACTGGACTCAAACTGTGTCCTGCTGCTTCAGACTGTTGTAGACATTAGATTCCATGTCAAAAATGAAGTCAAATGAGGAGGAAGTTCTTGTATTTTATTGTAATTAAATATGGAAAACAGTTAGGCCAAAGAACCCATCAAAACTGACTACTTTCTTCCCAGCATAATCAGGAAACATGCTTCAATTAATAGGAAAACAATAAGACCAAATAGCTAAACAACAATTGACAACTTTCTTCCTTTTCTTCTTCATCTTCTTCTTCTTCTTGAGCATATTCTGAACATATTCAGGAAATACATAAAGTTAAATACTTAAAATGACATCATCATACCATCATCATGGGAATAATATTCAAACAGCATAATTGGTTACAAAAGCTTAAACAACATTTACATAAAAATCTCCTTATTGGTCAAATGGAAGTAAGGTGTTGCTATGCAATAGCGTCACATATTTACTTGACATGACCCAAGGCATATCGGCTAAAGCTTGTTCTTCCCCAAACAAAAGTATTCATTACTGATACGAGACTAAAATCCTATCTGACCCAGACATTGAAAGGTTTGCCCTAAGAACTACAAAATCATGAACTTTGTACCTATTATGTTGCTTGCTAGCAATATCAGACCTACAAGAGGAAAGCCTTCTATATAACAGGCCTTTCTAACATCCTAATAAAATATTACCTAAAGAATAAATCTATAAAAACCAGAGAAATATGAATAATCAAAACAGGGGAAAATCTTTATAGTCCCATCTCTACTACAAGACCAACATGGCTGCCCCCACCTGAATCAATTTTGTTGGGGATGTTTTAAACTAGAACTGTCAGCCGCCTGGAACTAAGAGGAACAGCGGGATATAAAAGTTTCGAGAGATAAATGGAGTCTTCCCCCTCCCCCAGCCCGAATGGTGGTTTCAGGTCAGGAAAACCCCCAGGGCACCCTCACCCACACGCCCAGGAACTGAATTCTCAGTATGCAACTTGCAGGACAGGGCAGAGATGAGGAAAAGAGAAGGTTGCCAACTGGCCTGGGAAAAAACCATCCTGTCCCTTTAATAAGAGATTTAGTGGGAGGGTTTTTTTTTACCTCCAAAGCTTCAGCTGCCCATTTCCATACATTAAACCTCTGTTAAAGGTGCAGGACATTTTCCACCAGGCCAGTTGGCAACCATAAGAAGCAGAGTTCCTGGAGATTTTGGGGTGCAATCTGGGGGAGGGGGGGTTAGAAAGGGAGGGTCCTCAGAAGAATATAATATGCCATGGCCCGGAGATCAGTTGTAATTCCAGGAGATGTCCAGCCACCACCGGGAGGGTGGATGGCAACCCTGCATAGGCCCCCCACATCAGGCAGCTCCATCTGTTGGTTCACTTGTTGAGCCTCTGCCTTGTCTGTCTCCTCCCTCCCTCCCTCCCTCCCTCCTGTGAGCCCTTGCTGAGTTGGCCCAAGGGAAGGTGAAGCTCCCTCCGTGCTCCTGCGCGCCCCCTCCCAAAGACCTCAGATGTGCGTAAAAGCAAGGGGGAGGAGGAGACAGGGCTCCCAGCTGCTCAGACAGAGACCGAGCAGGGGTAGAGCCACGGGGTCGCCAGCTGTGCTTCAGTGCAAGGCTCCTTTGCAGCTGAGGCCTGCCGTGCCCGCCTTCTGTCACACTTGCTCCTCCAAGGAGTACACCAAGCTCTTTCCAGGGTCAAGACAAACCACACACTCTGTGGGCTGACTCTGTGGCCCTAGCCCTGCTTGCCCGTGGCAGGTGTGACTGCGTGCAGCAGCTCGTTCTTCTGGGTGCCGTTTGGGAAGAGCTGGAGCAAGAGGTAGGCCGAGACCACTCTCAAGAGCTGCACCCCGCTGGCCTCTCGTAGCCTGGGATGAGGGCTCTAGGGGGGGGGCACAGAGACGGGCGGGGGTGGCCAACGGTTCTTTCCCCCTCGTTTTCCTGACAGGCATCTGTCGCACAGAAAGAGACAAAGGCACCTTGTATGAGCTGACATTCAAAGGAGACAAAGACCATGAATTCAAGCGAATCGTCCTGTTCAGGCCATTTGGTCCCATCGTAACCGTAACAAACGAAAATCTCAACACGGCCCAGACCCTCGTGAACGTCATCGTCCCACTGGCCAAACGGGCTGGCAAGTTTCAGCAATTCATGCAGAATTTCAGGTTGGTTCATTTCCATCCAGATTGGCCTACTTCCGTTTTTTCAGCCATTACACTGTTTTCTTTATCAGCAATGGGTTTATTTTTACCTTTTTAAAACATGGCGCTCATATCCCTGGGTCTCTGTCCTTCCCTTTGCATCCTTGGAAGGAGGCAGGGCAGGGTGAAAATGACCGACCCCAAGGTCACCCGGTGAGTTTCTTGGTGAGCAGGGATCTGAACATCGGTCTCCCCAGCCAGGCTGGCCACTGTTAAGTCCAGCGCTTAACAAATAGTCAGAGAGTGATTTCAGCAAAAACTCAAGTTTAATCTTCAACACGAACACTTCTCCAACACGGTACAACATCTGATAGCCCGAACAGCTTGTCCATAGTAGCTGCTCGGTATTTAAACATTTCCCGGCTGATATAGCCACGCCTACTATACATGTAACAACCAATACGGTTGAGTGTATAAGAGCCAATCACCTTTGTTCCCGCTTACAGCTTGCTTGATCGTGATTGGACACATTTGCCTTGGGCTTGAATCCCTGCCCAAGACAAAGCTTAACATTGCTTCCCTATGAGATGTTTCACATACATCTTAATGCATTTATGGCAGCTTCTGAATACATTACAGCCACTCACAGGCCAGCCACACGGAGCTGTTTCTGGGACTCGCGCTGTGGGCCAAACTACACGTTGTGCGTCAAAATGTACCAGGGGCCTGATCCAAAGTGGGACCACAACATAGTGGGTGGGTGGGTGGAGGGGCCCCTGCCTTCCCCTTGCATTGTTTTGGGGAGGTGAAATGCCCGGGGGGGGGGAGACGAGTTGTTATTTGCCCCACTGCAGGGCCGCACACACACCTATGCGGTCTTCTGATGGGGCAAGCAATGTCCCTTTGCACATAGCAAGTGCAGATTATATAATTCTTTGTAAACATTTTCATGTAAAACAAATAAAGCATTATCAGAGGGTTTACCAACGATGTAAAACTATACCGCCAACAAGCCTCGTCTGGGAGCGCTGCTATCAGCAGCAGTAGATAATTCCTTGCCCTGACCTGGATGGGCCAGGCGAGAAGGACCTTGTCCGATCCCAGAAGCGAAGCAGGGTCGGCTGTGGTGAGTCCTTGGATGGGAGACCAGCCAGGAGGCCCCAGGGTTGCTGTGCAGGGTCTGGCCGTGGCCAACTGCCTCTGAACGCCTCTTTTGCCTCGAAAGCCCCACAGGGTTGCCATACGTCGGCTGTGACTTGGCAGGAAAATGAAAAAGGAAAGACAGAAATGATGACTTCCTTAAGCCCAGAACACTGACCAGTACCACACTGACCATTCTGTTATATAGCTGACAACTGATCAGAAGTTGTTTAAAGTATCATTCTAAATGGTAAATACTATTGTAAAAATAGTTGCAGTGATGTTATACTGGCCTAGTGGTGGGAATGCAGGCAAAAGGGTGGCTGACTGAGGGAAATGCATAAAAAAGTGCTGTGTGGAAGCGGACAAGTTAATAGCACTCCTCCCGCCCTCCTCCACTCCCATTCTCCTCCTCGGTAAAACAGTCTTGAATGCTAAATTTGCAAAAGCAGCAAAAGAATCAGCCCTTTTCTCAGGCTGTTACAAAGGTAAATCTCAAGGGGGGGGTGGATGTTGGGAGGGCCTCTGGATTCTAATGTGCATGCGCAGTGGGAGGTGCCAGCGCACCCCTCCCTCACAGCCCCTGTAAAACTGTGTATCCAGGTGACAGATGTTCCTGAGTGTGTTTTGAGTAGCAGCATTTTTCTGATCAGAACAAGCAATTCCACTGGGAGCTTAAACACTCTGGTAGACGCTTTCAAGCCGTCCAGGAAGGAGATTGTGACGGTTGGCTCACCCTCCCCTCCTGTCCCTGAAGCCTCCGCAGGACAGTCGGGGGTGAGGAGAAGGCGGGCGGGGGTGGCAGTGGCTGAGGGGACGCACCGGTATGCCAAAGGGTCCCTGCTCTTCTTTGAGAGAGATGGGTGGGTATGAAAGCAGCCCTTTATGTCTGTTCCAGGGAAATGGGCATCCGACTGGACGGAAGAGTTCATCTCACTGTTGTTTACTTTGGGAAAGAACAAATGCGGGAGGTCAGAGGGATCCTGGGAAACACCTCCAGGTGAGTCAGGCGGACGTTCGGATTCCAAAGGCCAAATGCTTGTTGGGTTCTTTCCTGGGTTTTCTCATGAGTAGCTCCAGGGCTCTAGTCGGGGGGGAGCTCTCAGGTACGGAGCTCCGGAAGAGAACCTCTAGGGGGCGGGGCGGTCACGTGGTGAAGCCCCACCCCCTTCTTTACCCCGCCCTCTGCTTCGATCCTCATTCCGTTTGGGAATGAGAATGAAGCAGGAGGGTAAGCTGAGTAGCTCTGTTCTGGAAAGACAAGAACTGCTTGGGGTGCAAGGCTTTCTGTCCTCCAAGATGGAAGCCCCGTCTGGCTGTGGGTTTCAGTGGTGGACAGACTCAACCACTCTGCACATACTCAGTGGGCCTCCTCCCGCAATATCACATTGCCCTGTGAGCCCGGGCTCAGAGGAGCCTTGTCTGTCCACAAGTGAAGTCCACAGTTGAGACAGGCGTCCATTACAGCCGTGTCACTGTATCTAGTCGCAGAGCAGCTGTAACCAAAGCAGCAAAAACAGGCCCAAAGTGGGCTGCTGAGAGGCACAGAGATTTGCACATGCTCAGGGGATTCCAGAAGGGATGGGATGTTGAGGGCCTCTGAGGGACGGTGAAAGGGGGAGAGAAATTGGCCTGAATGTTTAGAGAAATTTGGAGGGAGAGAGGGGGTGGGGAGGGATCTGCAGATCAACATCCTCAGGGCCATTTCCGTCCAAGCTCTCTCATAGGCAGGGTCCTGCCCCCCTGTGGGTAATGAAACCAGACCAGTGGGGCCAGACCGAGGTAAGGGGGTGGTTTCGGCATACCAGGGTAATTCCCCAGGACAGATCTCCCAGTCCCACCCCCACCCCACAAAGTGGGTGTGGAAAAGTCAGGCTGAAGGGTGTGCCCACTTTGGACACACACACCCGTGCCCCCTGCATGGGCTTCCCATTCTGTGAGCAAGCAAGCCACTTTGCCTACCAGCCTCTCCCTGTAGCAATACTTCCCTCCCTTACCAGTTGCTACAAGGAGTATCAAGCACTTGGGGAAAATATTCTTTAAAAACAGACATTGCAGTCTGAATTTGCCACACGAAAACTGGTCATCTGAACTTGTGGGTTGGATCCTACGCCTGTGTTCAGCCTGGGCTCCCACTGAGCTTAGCAGAGCAGCAAGATCGAATCTCCATCTAGAGACGACAGGAATGTATTTTCCTGCCAGCGTTGGTCCTTTCTGCCTTTGCCTGCCACTCCAGATTTTCTCAGTGTTTGAGCCGGGGCAACTTAAGTCCAGGGCAAATAACCCGGGGCAACAGCAGGCTAAAACCGGGCCGACCACTGAAGGGAGGTCATGTAATGCATTACCTGTTTGGGGAGGGCGGTATATAAATCTAAATAAATAAATAAATAAGAATGGGGGGGGGGACCCAGAATAAAAAGAAGGTTGAACTTGATTTTAGTGCAGGGGGGAAACCCTGGATTAAAAATGTTGAATTCGATTTTAGTGCAGAATTGCTTGGAGGACCCTGCGGTGAACATGGATTAAAAGTTGTAGTTATATCTGATCTCCTTTTGTGGACGATGAGCCATCACACAACAGACTAGGTTTCGGCCTTACGGCAAGTGATCTCATTTGTCTATTTTGTCTACTTTGACGTAGCATATTTCTATTCCACTTTTCTCCAGGGGAGGGGGCATCCAAAGCGGCTAACGCTACACAGAGAGAAAAACAAGCCAAACGAGAAAAGGAACGGAGGCTCCCGGTCGTCAGGCAGGCCTTCCCCCTCTCTGCCCAGCTTTGAGGCCTGAACCTCAGGCTCAGAGCCGAAGGACGAGAGCTCACGCCCAAGGCCTCGTGTGGCAGAGAGGACATCTAATCACTCTTCTTAGGCAAAGTGGCAAGCGCCCAATAACACATGTGACTCCTCCTTGTAGATCGGCACACTTCAAGAACTTCACCTTCATCCACCTGAACGAAGAATTCTCAAGAGGGAAAGGACTGGAAGTTGGGGCGCGCGTCTGGAAAGGTGGCAACGTGGTTCTCTTCTTCTGCGATGTAGATATCTACTTCACTGCTGAATTCCTCACCACGTGCAGACTCAATACACAGCCAGGTAGCACAATGGGTTGATCCATTTCAAGGGCATGTGACACTTCTTTAAATTGGAGGTCTAAATATTGTAAGGCCTTGCTGAGATGGAAGGGGGCTCCCTGTGAAGAGGAGTGCTTGTGTTTGGGGCTGTGTTCTGGGAAAGGCCGGAAAGTGCTTGCCTTGAATCCTGTCCATTCTCCTCCCATGTTGGGCTGTGTGTCTGCTTTCCCTTTGAATACCTGTGTGGTCACCCTGGCCCGAAAAGAAACATTCCCAACCACATCTATGGTGGGAACAAATTGGGATAAGCCACAGCCCAAGACGGACTAGGCCAAAGTCAGCAAGTGAATTTCAAGTGGGGATTTGGACCCAACCCTCCCCATTCTGCCCACGACTGCTAACTCTAGGCCCTTCTGGTTGTGAGAGGGAGAGGGAGTTTTTCCAGAGCCCAAACGGTGGGAGAAGGCTGTGCGCTAGTCTGAATGGCAGCAAGCACTCTTCCATGGGGACCTCTTGTCTCGCAGCAGCTATATTTGATTCCAGCTGTTTTATTTAAATAGGTCTACCTGCCTCCTCACTTTGTCTGAAGCAGCATTCAGTATATAAATTAAAAACATATGAACTAAGCAAAGAAAACAAACAAACAAAATCGATAACAGCCACCAACTCATCAACCAAGAACACCAGGATTTTCTCAGCTCAGCCTCGTCTTGGCAAGATCACTCTGGGAAAGAACCTTTTAGCCAAAATGCAAAAGGTGGACAGAGATGGTGTTTGATGGACTTCCTCCATGAGGCAGTGTGGGGAGCAGGGTTGCCAGCAGCCTGGAGGAAAAACCCGCCGCCCCATAAGAGGCTGGGTGGGGTGTCCTTTGCCTCTATACCATGGAAAGCTCCAGCTGTCCGTTTCCACACAGGAAGCCTCCGTGAAAAGGGCCGGGCATGATTTTTCTCCAGGCTTTTGGCCTCCATCCTTGAGAACGAGCAGTGTCTGCCGATGGAAGAAGACCACCCTTGCCAACCTGCAGGCCTTGCTAAGAGCAACGGGATGAGAGGATCAAAGGCTAAGCAGACAGGAGCCGATGCAGGGAGGGGTGGGGGCTGCTCCTCCCACACGGTGTAGGGCTTTATGGGGAAGAGGCAGCACCTTAACAACACTAAACCTGGAAGACCAGCTGTTAAGCAGTGAAGTCCTGTGTCCAGTTTTGGGCACTGCATGTTAGGAAGGACGTTGACAAGCTCGAGTGACTCCAGAAGAGGGCAACCAGGATGGTGAGAGGGTTGGAATCCAAGTCTTATGAGGAAAGGCTGAAAGAGTTGGGTATGTTTAGCCTGGGAAAGAGAAGGCTTAGAAGGGACACGAATGCAGTCTTCAAGTATTTGAAGGGCTGTCATGTAGAAGATGGAGCGGATCTATTCTCTCTTTCTCCGGATTGCAAGACTAGATCTAATGGGTGGAAATTACAAGGGAGTCGTTACCGGCTAAATATCAGGAGAAACTTCCTAACTGTAAGAGTGGTTGAGCAGTGGAACAGTCTGCCTCGGGGGGTGGTGGATGCTCCTTCGCTGGACAACCATCTTTCAGGTATTTTGTAGGGCTGTCTTTCTGCTCTGCTCTGCTCCTGTAGAGTGCAGGGGGTTGGACTAGATGACCTGCAAGGTCCCTTCCGACTCTCACATTCTATGATTCTAAGTCATTCCAAGACTGGAGTTCTGTGTTCACAGGGCTCTACACCCATGAAAAGGTGAGCAGCTCCACAAGTCCTGGAGCTGGGACTAGCTCTGGCCATCCGGTCCAGCCTCATGCTCAGTACAGGAAATCCAAAGCCAGAGCATTCCTCCTCGTGGAGGGTTGTCCAGCCTCTGCTTGAAGACCTCTGGCAAGGGGAAGCTCAGTCTCTCCCCAAGGAGCCAGGCTCATGGTTGAGTTGCTCTCACCCAAGTTTCTCCTCATGTTCAACTGAAATAGTCTCTCCGGTAACTTAAGCCCATTCGTTCTCCATCAGAATCCTTGTCTGTGGATGCTTCAGACACACCGGGCTTCGTTTCAAATGTGACTGCTCCCAAAAGATGGGGACAAGGAGGCCCACAAAGCCTTTGACCTGGCCCTTGGAGCAACGGCAGCCTCCTCCGTCTTTTCAGGGTAGAGACAACCTAACCAGGCCCAGCTCCTGACCCTAGTCAGGGTACAAAAAATAAATAAATCTCTTCTTAAGATCAAGAGAGTGTCTGGATTCCCTGCAGTCTCCCCTCCTTGTCCTCCAGCATCATCATTCACCACAACGTCTGGCTGAAGCACTGGAAGGGGGATCAACTTTCCAGAAACAATATTTCTACTGTCCCTTATGAGAGAGAGAAAGATACAGCACTGGGTGAAGGCCTGGCACAGACCAAGGGAAAAGAAGGAAGCCATGCCTCCTTCTTCCAGAGGTGAACAGATCCAGCAGGTCAGGCTGAAATTCCCTTCATGTTTCCAGAGGATCTTTCTCGCAAAGGGGCTCCAGAGATTCCAGACTCCACAAGCTGGTCTGGGACAGATCCTCTTTCACCTCCCAGCCCAACGCGTCGTCTCAGGGCTCCACAGCTGTCAAGCCGACTGTCAAGCAGCCCCTTCAGCCCTGATGCCGCCGTGGGAGGCTGGCTCTAGGCCTTTGCCCCCACTTGGCTTCGTTCTGCCCAGGAATGGGGACGACTATGCCAGGGGTTCAGTCAGGGGTGCATCATAGCCCTCTCCACCCCAGCAAGTTACGCTCCAAGCAGTCAGTCACCCATCGGAGAGCCAAGCCATGGAGAGCTGGTACTGGAGAAGGGGGGGGGGAATCAGGGATTTACTCTATCATATTTCTCATGCCTGAGGTGATTGGAGAGCAATCCTAGACCAACAACGCCTCAATAGACCGGTAAGGAGGAGATTTGGCATGGAGACCCTCTGATCCATAGTGGAGGCCCTCCAGGCGAGGGACTTCTTGGCTTCCATGGGCCTTTGGGAGGCTTACCTGCACATTCCCATCCAAGCTTCAGACCTTTGCTTCACATACTGTCACTAGCACTTTCAGGACAAGGCCCCTCCATCTGGACTTTCCCCCTCCTTGTAAGTCTTCACCAAGTTGATGGTCACAGTGGTGTCCCATTTCAGAACATGGGGCATAATGTCTACCACCTACCAGCATGACCTTCTAATCAAGGTCTCTGGGACACCAAAACAGCTCTAGAGGTCCTTAACAACCATGGATTCCTGGTGACTCACCCGAAAAGCACCCTCCAGACCATTATCTATCTGGGGACATCAATCAACCCTGCTCGATCCACCATTTCTCTCACAGAAGAGCATCTCTTCAACCTCAGGGTGGCTGTCACTCCTTTCCGATGTGACATCAACAAATCTTTTTTTTTCATTTTAATTTTTTTAATTAAATTTTTTTATTGCTTTTTACACTACATCCTATAGGGCATGGGGATGGGAACAACACTAAAACTAAAACAGAAGCTAAATAAGGCAAGGATAATTTACAATGAAAAGGTACATTCTGTATATGATGGTCCTACAATAGAAAGGAAACTTTTTAGGCTGAGTTATGACATTCTATAAAAATAGCTTAAGTTAATTTTGATACTGATTACTTGGTGAATTGCATGGTTTATTTCAGTTCATTTATCCGGTTTCTTCTTTTTCTTCTTATATTTCTGTTTAACTTTAACCTGCTTCGGGGCTGCTACTCCTCTGAGTCAGAAGTCTCAGATGTCCCTTTTTCTGATTCATAGGTCCCAGATGTCTTAGTCGAGCTGCTTGATGAATCTTGTAAATCAGATTCACTTTTTTCTTCTTGAATGCTTTTCTGCTTCTTTTCCCTTTTTGGGGGGGTTTGGTGCTGTTTCAGAAATTTTTTAGCTTTCTGAACAGAGTCAAGTTTAATTTTTTTATCTTTATATATGAATACAAGTCCTTCCGGGAATATCCATCTATAGGTGATTGTATTGGATTCGCTTTCTCACCTCGAATGGGATATCCTTTAAGACTTTCACTTTTTCTTCTTTAATTTTCCAGTTTTTGCCAGCAGTACCTCTTAAAACAGCATCTCTGGTAGATCTCTTAGAGAATTTAACAAATCGCTCGCCTGGTAGATTATTCTTTTTGATAAAATCTGGATAAATCCGATATGCCAAATCCATATCATTCTGTAGTTCTTCTTGCTTGAGATCAGTCATTGGAGCCAGGGCTTCACTTAAGAGTTGTTTTTAGGTTCACGAATGCCTTGAAAGCGCAACACATACATAGATCTATCCAGTTGAAGTTGTAATAATTAACCTTTATCTGAAGAGCTTTCTTTTTCTGCTTCATCCAATTTTTGTTGGGTATCTTTCAATTTTGTCTCCATTTTTTTGATAGCTTTTTCATAGTTGTCTGTTCTTTTCTCCATACGTGACAATTGCTTTTGCACTCCATCCAGTATAGTATTGACATTAGATATCTTTTCCAGCAGAGGGCGCAGTATCTCTGTTTCCTGTGCCTGTGGAGGGGTTGGAGTCGATGGTTGGGTATTTCCTGTAAGAGGCTTCTTTTCGGTTGCCATTCTTCTTCCCCTCCCAGACACTGTTTGCATAAGAAGGTTTTCCAAGTTAAAATGAACTTTCTCTGTTCGAGTTGCACTTGGGATTATCTTCCACCTTTCAGTCTCCTGGAACATCTCTCACCGTTAGTTTTGCTTTTTTCTTTTCGGTTTAGTCTATGGACCGCTTACTCTTGTGGTGGTGGGGATTTCCAAACTCTTCCCCAAACCCGCCTCTGCTTAGTGAATTAAGGAAGTTCACTTAAGGCTTAACCAGGGGATCGGTTAACTCACTTATATCGCTTTAAAAGTTATGCAGGAATGTTTCCATGCTTAATCTCTTGCCCACCACATCCGGCAGCATACTCTGGTTGCTATGTCGGCTCCCCTGACGGCAGGACCTCTCAGGGTTAAAGTGAGCCCCAATTGCTTGGCCGACACCTAGGAAGAGACTCCCTTCTGCACCCCAGGCCAGCAGTCCCCTACACTGGGGGGGGGGCAGACCCATCCGGGACCCCTCCTGTCTGCCGGGTCTCGGCGCGTCTCCATCGGGGCACGAAGAGACACGTCCGAGCCTGGAATCGCCAAAACCGGGAAAAAGGGACATCAGCAGATCTGATGGGGTTGGCGTGTGTGCCTGGTCTCATGATCTCCTGCCATGGGTCCAATTCCCCTCCCCTCCCCTTTAATGGCTGCCGCTGCCTCATCAACCTTCGGTGTCATTCCAGGGGCACAAATATCCCACTCAGTGTTCACCACTCCTTGTGATGGTCGCTCTGAGACTCCCATCTGATGGGAGGCACCCTGTTTCCCAGAACTACCCAGAGTGGCACTCACCACAGATGCCAGTTTCCTCACCTGGGGAACATACAGCCATCACCGAGTCGGACAAGGAAAGTCAAGGCACGACATCTGTTAGGTGGAGGTGAGAGAGATCTCTGTCTGCACTACTCTCCTTCCTAAGGTAATAGCAGACTTTCTTGCTATCCTCACTGACACCATGATTGATGGCCAAAACCCACACCAACTCTCAGGGAGGCTCAAGATCTTGCTCACTCCAGCAGAAGGCAACTTTTCTCCTTCCGTGAGCGGAGATCCATCTTGCACCTCTCCAAGCTCAGCACTGTCAGGGCGTTATGGAAAGCAGGCGGGCTCAGTCAGTGGGACCTGGAGGAGAGCGGACTCTCAACCCAAAGGCTGGGGCTACCCTGCCGGGATCTTTTCATGTCCCCCATCCACTACAAGATGCTGAGTTTCTGGTTCAGGAGGGCGAGAATGGAGGGCGAGAATGTTCTCTCATCCCCCTGGCCACATGAGCTCCCCTGTGCCTTTCCCCTGACACCGCCTATGGCCAGGGTACTCAACAAAACCTATTTCACTTGTACCCTGCCTTTCTCACCAGTAGGAACCCGGGGTGGCCTACATCACTCTCCTCTCCTCTATATCATCCTCACAACAATCCTGTGAGGTAGGTCAGGCTGAGCTAGTGTGACTAGCTCAAGGCCACCCAGCGAGCTTCCACGGCAGAGTGGGGATTTGAAGCTGAGTAGCCCAGATCGGAGTCTGTCACTGTAACCACCGCACCACACTGGCTCTCAGAATACACAGAGGAGTGGCAGAAGTCATTTTCCTTGCCGCCTACTGGCCAAGGAGACCCTGGTGCTCCAACTGGGTGGCGATGATGCAGCAGCCTCCGTGAATCTTCATCCTGACTTCCCGTAACGCCCTCCTTATGCGGTCCTCCGCTTTCCACACGGAAACTGGGGGGAGGCTGGTACACCAACTTGGCTATCCAGAAGAGACCGTCACAGTGCGTCTTGGCTTCTAGGAGGCCTCTTATACCCACACAGCATATCCACAAAGCCACTTGGGAGGCTTCCCACAGGTGGTGTTGCAGGAAGAAAACCAGTGCACCTTTCAGGCATACCAGAGGTCTTTGTTTCCTCCAGGGTGGACAGGATCAGTTCTCTGTCTCATCACAGAAAAACCCCTTTCCAGATGTAACCCTGTAAAGCCTTTTCTAAGGGAATGGCTCTATCCAGTCCTCCCCCTTGCATTGTTTCCCTTTGTGGGATCTCTGCAGGGTGCTGAGAGCTCCACACCAGTCTCTGCTTGGAACCCTTGTGATCAGGGAAGAGGGGAAACCTGAAGACAGAGGAACCAGATAAAGGTAGCTTGGCTGGCAGGGGCGGGGGGGAGAAGAGAAGGAGGCAGGAAGAGGGAAGGAGCCATGTGGCTTGCCATGGAAAAGGAAAAGAGGAGATATTGGTAGAGGAAAATGAGGTGCCCCCTGCAAGTCCTTGAGGATCCCCCACTCACACTTTCCAAATCAGGAGATGGAGTGACTTCGTACCTGTAAGTAAGATGGAAAGACAATACTATATAACTATCAGTAAGATGAAAAGGGTTAGCTCCCATGTCTGTTAGTCTTTGGCGGTGGCAGCTGCTGCTGAAGATCCACTTGCAACACAGGTGGGGGTGCAGCCACCCCCTGCTTCACCCATCCAGGTCTTGGCAACAGTGGGTGAGGCCATCCCGGAGGACTGACGGGGGTTCCCTTTCACTGGCCTGGCACTTTTACGGTGCACACACGGCAGTCTTCCATACAAACCGCTGAGGTGAGTTCCAACAAGTAAACAAACATAGCAATATAATAATCGGAACAAATAAAAATAAGATTTCGAAGTCAATAAAGCGAGAAGAGTCATAAAGCATAGACTAAAAACAGCATCTCAGCCTACAGCTCAGTGTCAGAGTAAATGATCAAAAGGTATCAGCAGCAACACGGAAAGGTCACAAAAATCACAACGAAAAAGCCTGGTGAATGGAAACAGCCAGCCTTGGTGACAGCGGACTGAGTAGGGGCTGCCCTGAAGGCAAACCATGCCCCAGACAGAAGGCACCCCCCCCTTCTGGCCTCCCACCTGCTCTCCAGAGGTGCACAGAGCAGGGCCAGTGAGGATGAACACGAACGCCTGGATAGCGTCATGGGGAACAACAGGGACCCTAGCCCCAGACCCTTTGGGGGCTTTAAAAGTCCATGGGCAGGTAAGCCTCCCGGAGGTCCATGGGAGCCAAGACGTCCCTTGCCTGGAGGGCCTCCACTATGGATCAGAGGGTCTCCATGCAAAATCTCCTCCTTACCGGTCTATTGAGGCGTTGTTGGTCTAGGATTGCTCTCCAATCACGTCAGGCATGAGAAATATGACAGAGTAAATCCCTGCATTCCCCCCCCCCTTCTCCAGCACCAGCTCTCCATGGCTTGGCTCTCCAAAAATCCAGCACCTTAAACTGGGCCCAAAAATACAACCGGCAAAGATTTTTCCAGCTGTGATTAAATTAGTTTGTCGTAATCTCTTGGCACATTCTCTTGGGTGCCCCATTCTGGCATCATGGGGGTTTCTGAATTGCAAAGGCAGCCTGACGTTACGGCAACCCTGACTTGGTGGTGGCCAGATCTCAGTTCCCAAGGAAGGGCCACAACTTCCAAAGTGGCTGAATCTGGTTAAAGGGTCTGTGGTGAAACTTCCACCTGAGGTACTCCCAAGCGGCAAACTTGCTCCTTCCAAGGGAGTACAACTCCCCACTCCCCGATCAGCACCTCCGTTGACCAGCAGCAGCATCTCAAGTGGGCTTTAGCTTCTTGGCTACCATCCAGCTGGCTGCTGCCTCCGGGCACCCCTTCAGGACAGTCACTGCCTGATCTGACCCCAACGGAAAGGGGAGCAGGAGCTGCATCCGGTCATCAGCAGGGCAGAGGGCAGTTTCTGCCCCCAGGCCTCATTGACTCGGGTCTTGATAACGGGTCTCATCCCAAACCGCCTGGAGTGGATCCACCACCGTCCACTGAAGCATTTGCAATTGGTCCAGGAATCCTTCCCTCTCAGGGAAACATCCATTTTACACCTGGTGGGTTGTTGGTGCAGCCTCCAGAATTATTGTACTCTCTTAGTTGCTTGAATGTTCTGCCCTATTGGGTGTTCCTTCTTTGTTTTAGGTTTTAGAGGATTTTTTAAAAGTAGAAACCACATGTTGAATTTTATATTCGCAACGTTCAAAGCCATCTCATTCTGAACGCCCAAGAGCAAAAATACATCTGCAAATGTAGCAAAGTATATAAAATAATGTTTTTCCCCCCCCAACATTATTGCTTCTAGGGAAGAAGGTATTTTATCCTGTTCTTTTCAGCCAGTATAACCCAAGCCTAATTTATGGGCACCATGATTCCATCCCTCCCCTAGAACAGCAACTGGTAAGTAGATGGCTATAAAGCATTTCATCTCAGATTGCAAAAGGACCAATTATGTATCATTACGATGCAAAGAACTCTGGGAACTGTAGTTTGGAAATTTGCTAAGCGTTCTGTTAGAGAGAAGAGGTCTCAGTCACAAAGCTGGTGTAATGTCAACTTCTGGTATTCAACTGAAAGCTAACCCTTTCTCACTGTGACTTTCTCCTAATCTCAAAATGTCCCTAGAATTGCTATTTACCCTCTTGTGGGAAAGGCAGATAAGTTTGTTCCCGTGCATGTTTCCTTTACTAGGGCAAACTGCAGTTCTAGGGAGCCTTTTGATGCTGGTAAAACGTCAGAGGGTGACAGGCTTAACCCCTTATGCAACAGCCTTCATCCAATGAGACAACTCTGCAGTTGCTATGTATTGATCCTTTAGAAGCACTCGGGCAATCCATTAACGAATCTCTGTTTCATTTCTTTGGGGTCTCGTTCCCAGTGGAAAGCAAGTGACTCTAGAGATTTGGAGGTAGAGTCTAAGGTTGGCACTTCTCTAGGTACATGAGAATACAGGCAGAAGAGTAACTTGAAATTAATGAGATTACCTCCAGAGAAAAAAGGAAGGGATGCGGAATATCACAGGAGGAAATCTTACAGTCTGCACAGAACATGATTGCTGCAGAGAAGCTTGCAAGGAAGTCTTTCAAAGAAACGGTGTTTATCTTCAGATTATAGCAAAAATGTATATTTCCCAAGCTTTATTTATGTACTTCATTTACAGCCTGCGTTTCTCACTGAGACTCAAGGCAGATTATGAACGTTTAAAAAAAAACCACCCAATTCAATTAGATAACAAATACTTCCAGTAGACGTTGCAGGAGGACTAAGATCACAGAACAGGGAAACAGTGGAGCCAACAACAAAAACGAAAAAAGACACAAGAAGATTGACGAAGGCATGCCGTGCCATCATGCAGAAAGTGGGCTCCAAAAGTAGAACTGACGGGCAGCCAGGCCTGGGTGAGTCATGCAAGTCCGGTGATATCAAGTCACCCAGTGGCTGCTTCCAGGCCGCCTGACCCTATGGATCCTCCCTCAGAGGTTAGGAGAAAGACCGGTTTGGTCGTTCACAGCTCCAGTCACCAGATTTAAGTATCCTCAGACTGGGCTGACTTCACTGTTAGAATATACAAGAGGGGGACCCAGAAGGACTTGCGGGAGACATCTCATTTCCCCCTCCCCCACAAATTCCTCATTCCCTTTCCTGAAAGCCAGCCCCCATTGCTTCTTCTCCCCTTCCCACCCAACCCCCAATCTACATTTATCTGTCCTCCTGTCTTCAGCTTTCCACCCCCCCTCCCCCAGCAGCCTCTGCTGAGGAAAACTGTGCCTTAGTTGTGTGTGTGTGTGGGGAGCTACTGGGCCAGGCCTGTACTGACCACAGGGTGACTTGCCTGCCTGGTGCAAAGGGAGCAGACATTACACGTGGTCTAGGTATAGTTCCAGCTCCTGCCAAACTAGCAGTTCGAAAGCAAGAAATTGCAAGTAGATAAATAGGTACCACTTCGGTGGGAAGGTAACAGCGTTCCGTGCACCTTGGTGTTTAGTCATGCCGGCCACATGACCACGGAAACGTCTTCGGACAGCGCTGGCTCTTCGGCTTTGAAACGGAGATGAGCACCGCAACCCTAGAGTCGGATTCGACTGGCTTTCGAGCAAGGGAACCTTTACCTTTACCTTTAGGTATAGACTGGTAGACCGTGCTGGGGAGGAGCCAGCGGTCGTGGTAAATTTTGGCACCAACCATGTGGGGCAGGGTTGCCAGCCCCCAGGTCTGGGCAGGGGAAGCCCCGCCCTCAAGAGCAACCAGTATTCTCTCTAAGCTGAGTTAGTGTGAGCTAGCTCACAGTTTTTTAGCCTCCGACTCACAGATCCTTGTCTTAGCTCAGGAAGGAGGGCTCCAGAGCAAACCAATTTATGCAGCAGCCAAATCGCTGGCTCACGACTTTAATGTCAGTAGCTCACAAAGGAGAATCTTTGCTCACAAGACCCCACAGCTTAGAGGGAGCATTGGCCATCACCTGCCCGGCTACCCCCCCCCACCCTGCCTGATTTAAAGTTTCTCGGAGGGGGCCACAGGGTCCACCCACCAGCTGGAGGGCCCTTTAAATCTAGCAGGAGGGAGAGACACGCTCAGCTCGCAAAAAGACCCTCAGCAGTCATGGGATAAGAGGACAAGTCCTCTTGTGGGTTAAGAACTAGTTAGTTGACAGGAAACAGAGAGTCAGTATAAATGGGCAGTTTTTCCAGTGGAAGGTGGTAAGCAGTGGGGTATTTAACACATGGAATTCACTACTGCAGGAAGTGGTGGTGGCTACAAGCACAAACAGCTTCAAGAGGGGATTGGCTGAACAGATGGAGCAGAGGTCCATAAGTGGCTGTTAGCCTGAAGGTATAGATAGGAACTCTCAGTCTGGGGCAAGGGAAGCTCTGTATTCTTGGTGCTGGGGGGGCAACAGTGGGAGGGCTTCTGGAGTTCAGGCCCCACTGGTGGACCTCCTGATGGCCCCTGGTTTTTGGCCACTGTGTGACACAGAGTGTTTGACTGGATGGGCCACTATCTTGACCCAACATGGCTTCTCTTATGTTCGTATGTCTGGGGCAGGGATGCTCTGTATTCTTGGTGCTGGGGGGGGGGGCAACAGTGGAAGGGCTTCTGGATGTCTGGCCCTGCTGGTGGACCTCCTGGTGGTACCTGGGTTTTGGCCACTGTGTAACCCAGGGTGTTGGACTGGATGGGTTTTTCTTATGTTCTAACCTACCTTTTATCTCCCTCCCATCTTCAGCTATACTTATTTATTTACTTCATTTATATCCCACCTTTCTCCAGAGTGGGGATGAAATCAGCTTACATTACTCTCCTCCTTTTTATCCTCACAACAACCCTGTCAGGTAGGTATGTGACTAACCTAAACTCAGTGAGCTTCCACAGAAAGATGGGGATTTGAACCTGGCTGACCCTACTCTGAAGCTCTAACCGCTGCACCACACTGGCTTTTATAGGGTAGCTGCTGTTGAACGTTAGCAAACAGCCAGGCAAGTCAGGTGGTATCAGGTCACCAAGTGGTTGCTGCCAGGCCTGGCCCTGATAAGTCCTCCCGCAAAGCCCAAAACACCCCTGGACAGGGCCCTGTCCCCTCCCCCTGCCTTTTACTGACAGAAACCAAGCCTAGAATGCTGTGGTTGCCTAGCAACAGTCACTGAGGGCTTCTGTTTCTGCAAGCTGCTTTTATCATGTTGGGGGTTTTGTTTTGTGTGTGTGGGGGGTAGTTTTCAGATTTTCTGCAAACCTGGAAAGTTTCTCAGGTTTGCTAAAAGATCTTTCTTGCCAGTGCATAGCTCCAGTCTGCGGATTTAAGAGCCCTCAGATTTGGCCAACATTGCTATTCAAATATACAAGAGAGAACCCTCAAGGACTTGTGGGAGGCATCTCATTCCCGCTTCCCCACCATTTCCTATTTCCCTTTCCTGAAAGCCCCCACAGCCTCTGTCATTTTCCTTCCTCCTTCTTTCTACCCAACAGCCACCCTACATATATCTGCCCCTCTGTCTTCAGCTTTCTCTCTCCCCAACCAGCAGCCTCAACCCAGGAAAACCACAGCCCAGTCGTGTGGTGGTGGCCACTGGGCGAGGGCCACTTGCATGGCGAGGGACCCTTTAGGCCCTGTGGGGGGGGCCTCACTTCCCCCTGTACCCCCCCATTCACTATTTCCCCTTCCCCCCCTCCTGGCAACCCTCATGATCCTCCGCCCTTTCCCCTCCGTTTATTTGCCTCCCATCTGCAGCTATAGTTATTATTTATTTATTTCATTGATATCCCACCTTCCTCCATAGTGGGGACCCAAAGCAGCTTGGGCATTTTCCAGGTTTGTACAAAGATCGGTCTTGCCCATTCACAGCTCCAGTCACTGGATTTAAGCACCCTCAGGTATGGCTGATGGCCTGTGATATATATAAGCACCATCACATACCATCAGCCATATCTGCGGGTGCTTAAATACCCGCGCACGTGGGGCTGGCCCTCCTGACCTCCACTAGGCGAGTGATTCCCCCCCCCCCCGCAGGCTGGGCACCAGCACAACGAAGGCACCTGAGCAAGCCGTTGCTGATCTTTCCCCTCCGCAGGGTGGCCTCTTCAGGGGGCCTGGCTCGCTTGGATGAGCAAAGCGGCCCCACGGAACGTGGCGGGAGAGGCAGGCAGTGGCAATGGGAGTGGAAAGTCTTTTTTAAGGAGATCGGCCAGTGAAAGAATAATAGAGAGTAGGCTGGGACCTCCACAGTAATTTTGCTAGCAATGACCTTTTATAGAACCACAGAATCATGGAGTTGGACGGGACCACCAGAGTCATCTAGTCCACCCCTCTGCACAATGCAGGAAATTTAAAACTACCTCCCCCC